TCCTAAATAAGTCTTTAAAGTTTTAGTATCAATTAGGTTCTTTTAATTCTAATTCAAAGTATATTTTACATGCTTTAATTACAAATAAACCTTATTATTTTGATGTTATGAAAAACATTCCAAATGCATTATACTTTGAAAATTTTGAGTTTATATTGTTATTTAAATAACAAATAAATTAATATAAACATCAAAATATCATAATATAGTATCAAATTTTAATCTCTTTTCAAAAACATCTAAAACATAAAAATTAGTCTCTATTATACTTTAAAATTATATTTGATGTCTTTATCTACCAAAAAATTTGATTGTATATAAAAAATATTTAAATTTTTCATTTGGATCTTTAATAATTGACTATTCTAACTTATACTACATTCTTAAAAATACAAAGTTGAAATAATAATACCAACATAATAATAATTCCAATGGTATCAATAGCAATTAAAATAATTATTTTATTCATTCCAATTTGTATTCTTTATATCTTCCATTTGTTTAAAATTTTGTTCTAATAATCAAATTAAACTATTAATAACTATTTCTTAATGTTTAAATCTTTTTAGTTTTTTTTAGTTTTTTTTATGTTTAAAAATATATATCTAATTTATTCAATTGACTTAATATTTAATTGATGAAGGTATTAAAAAACTATTATAACTTAATAAAAAATCATAATTAAATAACTACATAATTATTTTTGTGTTGACCTTGTTTTATTTTTGTATTTGTTTGTAATTATTAGTAATAATTGATGTAGAATAAGCATTTTATAAGTTCTTATTATCTTAATATTTTAAATATTACATTCTAAATGATAATAATATATAATATATTTAAGTATTTATTCTATTTAATGCTCTTATATTTACATTTTAAAATTCGTAGTTTTGATAAATTAGATAGGTAGAAGAATCATAGAATATTAAAGAATTCGATAAAATCATAAATGAAGAAAGAAGATTAAATATTAGAAAAATTGATAAAATATTAGTTTAAAAAATAATGACCTAAAACTTCTTAAATAATTGGATGTTTAATATTTTTTTAATACACTTTTTATTTTAAAAAATCAAATAATAATATTATAATTATTATTTTTTTAAACCACTAAAAATATGATTTTAAATATAATTTTAAATACATATATTTATGTATGTTTTAATTAAAAAGAAAATAAAGAAAATAATTTTTTATTAATATATATTTTTATAATAAGTATTATTAAATATATAAGACTAAAGAGTTTCAAACTAAGACTAGAAAGTAAGTATTCATAGGAGTAAAGATATTTTAATCTTATATCTATATCTATATATATATATATATATATATATATATATATTATCTAGCAATAAAATGATATATTAGGTTTTTTAAGGATTACAAGGTTTTGATACCAATTATCTAAGTCACTTATAGAAAAATATAAAATTTCTTTAAAAAATTATTATTATTACATGACACAACTTTGAGTCTATTCAATATTTAATAAACATCTCTAATGCTTCTTGAAGAAGATATCTAAGATCTTGGGTACATAATAAAATATATTTAAATAAATAATATTATTATAATTTCTTTTTTTTATTGTAATGAACATGAATGTTGATGCTGGAAAAATAATATTCATCAAGTCATCACTTTTTGAACTTTGAAAATAAAACTCCAAATGTACCATGATCAATAGTGCATTCTAATACAAGACAACTTTGTTTGTACTATCTAATAGGATTGATTGTACTAGATATAAAATGTATAGATTAGTTATTACAATATAAGAGTAAAGTAAAATGAAAAAATACACATTGTAACATCAAAGCATAATGAGGTGATTAATAAATTCCTTTTTTGATAGGAATTGATTATGCGTACACCCTCTTTTTAATCAAACAACATTATTCAACTATCACTGACTACAAGTTCAACTTAATAAAGAGGTCGATAGCTTGAGTTCAAAATTTGATGGTTCTCTCCATATGCTATTATTGGACAGCATCCACATGCTCCTTTGGACTATTCTCATGTGCACGTGATTATTAGATCTTGGATAGTTGTTATTTGTTCTTATAATAATGTAATATGTTACTCTTGCAACATTTGCTGCTGATGCACCAAAAGTTGCTCATGATGTTCTTCAACTTATTGTGAAACTTGTTTGAGTAAGTCAGGTTCTCTATCATTGGCTGCAATTGCCAGTATTTTAAGCCACTAATGCTTGAAAAAAAAGATCTATGGTTATCCTGCCAAAGGGTGATTTGAGAATATCATGAATCATATGCACATAGTGTAAGCCAAGCATGCATAGAGTTGTGGTGTTTAAGAAGTGATGAGCCTTTTTAACCTCCACTTCTACTTTCTTGAGAGTATAGTATAATTTTTTTATCACACTACTACTTAGATTGCATTGCAATGATAGATCATAGTATGTATTTAGTTGTACATAATTTAACAACAGATGATGCTTTTTTGTTGTTAAATTATAAGCATTAGTTTCTCCTAAAGGTCTCTTTGGTCACCAGATAATATGTTGAGCTACAATTTTATGGCCATGTGCCAAGCACAAAGAAGATTTAATGTATTTGGCAACTAAGTGTAGACAACCAATATTAACACAAATTCCTTGTCTACCACCACTTGCGATTGATGCTTTGTAATGAATATTCCTTTAATCTTGGTCAAAATCCAAATATAATCATTCTTTGTATCAATTTTTATAAAGCAAAAGTATGCAAAAAAAAAAATCTAGTTTATTGAAGTTATATCAATGATATGCAATAGCATTATTTTAAATTGATTTGTTTTATAAGTCAAGTCTATAAGGATCTTAAGCAAAAATTCTTGTGCTAATGCCATTGCCATAAGTGGTGCAAAAAAAAGATGTATGAGTCATCCTTTGGCATCATACTAATAGGCATGTCACACATTTTAAGTGTACAAGTCAAACTTGTAGTCAATGAGAGTTGAAAAAAGCTGTCTAATTAAAAGGGGGTGGTGTGTACTTACAAAAGGGGGTATGCCCATAGTTGGCTCCACATCACGCTAGTTCCCGGTCACTTTGTAAGCTTTGGAAGTAGGACCTGATGCACTTTCTTTGTACTGCATGAAAGAAGATGTTATTACAGCAATTGACTGGCCCCAAAAACATTTATATCACATGAATAAATGAATGTAGTGAAAATTGTTTTTGGGTGCATTGTGTGAACCAAACAAAGCTGTTTTCATTCATCAAAATCAACAAGGGAAGATTACAATAGAACATTGTGCGTCCGTCAAGTGCACATCTGCATCGCCTGCATGGCACTGAAGTCCACCATACAATGATAGTTTCACCACTCTTTTGACAAATGCACTGCAGAGCGGTGTATCAGAATTGGGCTTGAAGCTCAGCATACATTTTACTAACCAACCGACAGGTCTTAGACTTGGTACACAATGACAGTCTACCAGAAATATCCGACAGATTCGGTACCAGCTCTACAGCAGAAAAGACCCTGAGGTTAATGAAAATAAAGGAACAGTGCCATATGAACACCTCCGGAAAGGAACGCACCGCACATCAAGGTCATCGTGCACTTATTCTCAATAAGAACACCGACACCGAGGTGCCTTATTAGCTTTAGGGGATTGCATAATTTTCCTCATCTAACTGTGCGATGCTTCACACTGTAGTGTATATAATTGATGCCACATTCGGCCAATAATTTGCTAGCTCAAGCAAAGTTTGTGACGAAAACACAGTGACCGGGAACTAGCGTGATGTGGAGCCAGCGACCACGTCAGTGTTCTTCTAGTGCAAGCTGTTGTAAGTCGAATGCCTGACTGGGGCTGAAAATGAAAGAGTTGAAATCGATGTTCGCTTCTGGGTTTCACTACATCAACCGAAGTTCACTAGGAAGTCGCGACAACCTGCTTAACGAGTCGACCTCAAGACGAAGACTTGGGTCTGATCAATGCTGGACCGAGTCAAGCTGGAGATTTAGGTGACTTGCCTGAAGAAGTTTTAGACAATACTTGAAATGATGATGACATGAACGCAGAGATCGGGTGAAGCATGATTTGCATCACACCTTCGGAGAAGAAGGAGCTTGACAGCTAGAGATCACAACGATCAATTTGGAGGGAAAATCATTTGAAGATTTCGGTTGTGTCAGGTTTCGTACAGTATTATGTCAACAAGCTTAGCCTTTCATCAGATCCACTTGAGCCACTATTTACCCTAATTATTGATGTTTCTCGATTGGTTACTGAACTTCAGGGACTACATTGACGATGGGACGTTGCACCTGAACCACGAGCTGTGTATTGATCGCTGCAGATATACTATTCACCTGAAATAATAGTGGGCTTTCCAACTTAAAAATAGACCTCATGTTGAGCTATTTCAAGACCTTGCAGCAGAATATTCCATAACAAATGATAAAGTTGATTTGGTGATTTGCAAGTAATGCTGATTAACCTTGAGGCCATAATGCGAGAAGACAATGTCATTGCAAATGATCTGGGAGAATTGACACCTATTCTCTCGCCAGGTCCGGTAGTTTGGTTTTTCTGTTGGCTATTCTATGATTCATTGAAGCAACTTGCATAAATTGAGGATCTACCTACGGTCAACTCATCAGATACACTTTTCGGGTCACCTGAAGCAAGACAACCTTCAAGACAACAATGCTCGTCTCCCATCTTCAATCAGATTCCGAATCACTCTCCCCTTCTATTTCAGAGGATGCCAGCAGCAATCTAGAAATCAGTCAAGGACAAAGACAAAGCATGCGAGTCCAGTTCGTTCGAGTGTAGGTAATCTCTTGCTTCCAAGAGTAGACTTATCGTGTGAGGAGACCGATTAATAAGCAGAGATTGTTGATCTACACACTTCGGTAGAGCGTTGTCACAGCAGGAAAATTTGGAACAACAGCTACAGAAACAACAAGAAATCTCGAATTCCTCCTCAAAATATGGGAAAGTTTCAGGAGACTGGCAGTCGAAGGGAGCTTACATGTTGCAAGTTGGGAGCTCTTGTTTTGATTGTGTCTCAGATGTTGATGAGGATAACAAGCGGAACACCTGTCCCTGCTCCGATTCTACCAGACAACTGTACCAGTGAGGAGGGTTGTTGCATGCCACAGCCATACACAGGTAAGCCAGCCAGAGATTTTGAAGGCGACCTCGCCTTACCCATAAGAATCAGAAGACCAGTGCATAAACTCAACGAGTCGGAGATCGCAAGGCTGGAGAGGGGTTATAAATTGCTAAGAGAATTGCCGGACCTAGATCCCCGGTCTCTATCCAACCAAGCGAATCTCCACTGTCTGTACTGCGATAATGGAATCTATTACAATAACATGACCTGGCCACTTGAGATTCACAACCATTGGCTATTCCTTCCATGGCATCGAATGTTCTTGTATTTTCACGAGCGGATATTGGCCAAGCTCTTGGATGACGACACCTTCGCATTGCCTTACTGGAATTGGGACAACCAGTCGTCGTCGGAGGAAGCCAACATACTCCCTAGGATCTACTCAACCAACGAAACATCTTACCTACGGGACCTGAATCGCAACAAATGCGCGCAGCCTCCGAATCTTGTACATCTGAACTCAATCGGGGGTTGCACTGATAAGACCGCAGATGAGCTGCGAATCGAGAATACACAGGTTATGTACACGCAGATCGTGACAGGAGCGCCAACGCCGAGACTCTTCTTCGGAGAGCCTTACAGCTATGGCGATTCGGGTGGGTATGGTCCTGGAACGTTTGAGGATAATCCTCATGGCACTGTGCATCTGTGGGTGGGAGATCCAGACGCAGCCACTGCATTCAATGACATGGGAAACTTTGGAAGGTCTGCTAGAGACCCCGTTTTTTACACTCATCATTCAAATATCGACAGGATATGGACGATATGGAAGACGCTTCCAGGAAAGCAGAGGACGGAACCGACGCATGCAGATTTCCTCGACTCGAGATTCACTTACTATGATGAAAATGCCGATCAAGTCATTGTGAATTTGTCACAGATCATAAACACCCCGCTCCTCAGGTAACTAGCCTCATTTTTCAGTTCATTTACTTTGAAAGCTGATGAATTCCAGTCCGTATCTGAAGTTTTCCATTATGGCCAATACCAGGTATGAGTATGAGGAATCGCCAACTGCATGGGTCTCGAGAGGACAAAAACCAGGCCACGAGAAAAATGTAACCGCCTGTAATCCCCTGAGCCCTTCGCAAACGAACGCCATGATCTACACCACACCCGAGCTTGCAGCCGCCGGCACTCTCGATGCAAAACCACTAACGTTCCGAGTAACCCGTCCTGAAAGAAGCGATGTAGGAGTGGAGGTGCTTGAGATTCAGGGCATAAAAGTGGATAACACGTTACAGAGCCACTGGGGAGCTTACCTGTTCTTCCCATCAGCAGAACTGAACACGTCTGTGAGCTGCCCCGAGTTCTTCGGTACTTTCAACTTCAGCCCGCATGTCGGCCAGGCACAGGTCACCCGAGATCTGGTGTGGAGAGTGGGTATTCGGCAGAAGCTCATCGATCTAGGAAAAGACGACTACGATGATATTGTTGTGACGCTTGTACGATTCGGGCCAAGCATACAGCAGCTTCAACTTGGTGGTACCCAAGTCCTTTACGACACCAGTCCGACTACGCTGGATTGAGTCTGAAACCTACCATGGAAAATCACTGCCTTCATCTGCATCGCCGTGAGGAGCTTAGTTTATCTTCATTGAACAGGTTCTGCGGCAAGTCTCAAACTCGCCTCTGCAATGTGGAATCTGAAAACAAATTTTCGCAGTCTTAGTGGCAAACTATCATACCAGATTCAGGATAAGTGTTAAATTGGCCGACCCACTTGGAAATCTTATGGGAGCTGACTACATGTGGACAATCACAAGCAGTAAGACTCTGCATTACATGACAAATGTAATGATCAGGTGAATTTCGGTCTTGTGTTGTGTAACTGATCAGCAACATTAAAGGTTTTCGTTGACTGTGTTCATGTCAGCAAGACTGCATAGCTATTCAGCTGTGCAAGTTTCAATAAATTGAAAAGTAAAGAAAAACAGAAGAACTGTGAAAATACTTGCATGGAATTGGAACCATTAACTTTGTTGTTTTTTTTTTCTGTTGTCGGCCATGTGGGTTAACGCACCCACTGAATTACTAAGCAGCAGGAAAATGGTACTTGAAGATACACCCCAAGTACAAGTCTGGGAAGAAACCCTGTCCTGCATGATTGAGTCGTATTCTAAAAGCACTAGACACAGGTTTAATGTAATGTACCTGTACTCCAGGTGCAAATACGACCATGCCCAGATATCCTGTTGACCACATGAATGTGAGAATAATACATTTATGTATTCTCTTATTAATACTATTGAATCTCTCGTTTTCATTTTCTTCCTTGATACCAAGTGAGAATAATATATTAATGTAATATTGTTAACCATCTCTTTTTTAATAGTATTGAGTCTCACATACATAATTGTGATGTTGTCCACGGTAATGTTACCTGTCGGTAATCATTTCTTGAGCTGCCGTTTATGTCACTGCAGCTATCAGGTCTTGTGGGCGCGGCTCTTGAAGGAGGCATGTTTGAGTGACTATAAGACCGAGTGCTTCCATTAGGCACTGTATTTAAATTGGACCATAGTTTTTGCTCATGTTTGTTTGTCCCACAGGCTCGCTCTTGGGTCTCGTATTTACCACTTGAGATTGGAAATGATCCACCAAGATGCTCACTACTATTGTCAAGTTCATAGGATCTAGGGGTCATGCTTGATATCTTCAATTGACCCACGTCGGCAAAATATGCTTGAGCATCGTACTTGGAACCGTCGTACGTTTCAAATTCTGATATGTATTCTGAGCTATGTCGTGGTTTTAGATCCTGATAGAGGCCACCGTTCTTCCCTTCGCTTTCCAAGGCTTTCACAACGTGTTCATTCAACATGCAAAAACCAGTCAGCCTTCAAAGATAAGACAGACGCATAATACGAGACCCTATGCAATTGTAGTAGATGTTCATGATACTCAACACTAGCAGGTCTTTTGAAGCTGGTCCTGTCCCATCTTGGGTCGCTTGTTGGCCGTCTGGCGGACGCATGATGCAGCAACCTTGATCTTCCAGAACGTTTCTTTGAGGTCATACTCACGGCCCAATCTAAGATCAACAAGCTCGTCTAAGTCTCCATCCTCCAATGCTTCTGTCATCAATGGCTGTGCCAATTACACCAGGCTTATCGTCCCATTCAGATTCCTTGTATCAACAGGCTTTCACCCAGTGATAAGCTTTAACAACGTTACACCAAAGCAGTAGACTTCTGACTTTTCTGTCAACTTGCCACTCTGAGCATATTCAAGCGCATTTATCCAAAGGTTTCCATCATACGAGTTTTAAACATGAGTGTTTGTGTCGGACGCCGGCTTAGCCAACACAAAATTAGAAACCTGCAACAAAACCCAAACATAGTCATAAGCAGGTGTCTGCTACAATAAATTATTCAAGTACGCATATCAACATGCAAGTATCATGGAACACTACCTAGAGAGGAAAATCGTAATTGAAAAATTGAGACAGTTGTCAAAAAATTAAACTTGAGCTCCATATTTGTCATCCAAACGTATGCTCGAAGACTTGATGTCACGATGTATAATAAGGGGATGACAATCTTCATGAAGGTATGAAGACCCGTATTTGGAGCAGGGACAGACGCCACAGGCGTAACACTCCCCGTTGTACGAGTGACCGACATTTTTTTATCCTACTACAGTGTTATTGCAGCTGCTGTTCAGGCTCTGCACAACGCAAACTTGAGTACCAGAATCCTCTCTGAGCAGATGAGAGATGTTTCAACTAATCTCCGTATGGGTAGAGTTCATCGTTAGTACTCACGAGATTGAACAAACAACTTTAATTGATACCAGTAGAAAGAGGTCCGGTAATCCATTGGCCGTTCTGATTTCAAAAATATGAAAATGAGCCGTAACGCACAAAACAAAGTACTATGATATACAAATTCTAACACATTTCGTTGTTTAAACCACATTGTACTAGGGATTAAGTTGCTACACTTTAAAGATCCTAAATAAACGTCGGAAAATCTCTTCTTCCTCAATCGATTGCACCTCATGACTTACACTTGACCAAGTAATTGAAATGGATTGCACTGCTTTGATCCATACCCAAAGCAAGAAAATATTTTGTTCCAAGAGCATCACCTACAATGCTGTTAACCTAACGACGGAGTGTGCCGCATGGCCGATTCAAAGCTGCCACACCAAGAATTTCAGCAGTGTCCTTCATGTCATCAGCCGAACACTACCCTCATTTATTCCCAGTTCGACGCATCAAGCGCCGTGGATTTCAGTGCCTCGACATCAGTGAAAGTACAACAAAATTCTGAACACCGTTCAGATGACATGATACTCCTGTCAATCGTCGTTTTTCAGCAACGCTCATCACCATCGCACATTAAAGCTCACAACCACACTGCACGACGAGGCGATTCGAGAGATGATGATTACTGGGTGAAGGAACAGATGAACCGAACCCATTTGGTCCTTTTCTCACACTGAAAATAAGGAAAAGATCACATTTCATTTTTGAAGATAGAGGAAATTGAAAACAGAATACTTGTAACAGAAAGAGTACCTAAGAAAAAAAACCAAGGCATGCATAACTCTTCCAATGCACGGGCACGATGCGGGCACTGATTGTAAACGAAACTGCATCAACTAAATGTTGCAAGTACCAAAGGAAACCTACCTACCAGAGACTGCTAATCACTTCAAAAATGTCGAAGCTTCACTCTCGCCTCTTCCCCTAACTCTAAAGCTAACCTGTCGTCTAAAACTGCTGCAATACTCCACACACACAGCTACTACAAAGCACCTTCCACAGAAGCGCAGCAAACTCAAGCTAAACACCACAAGCTCACCCACCAAACCCGCATGTCTTGGACTTGACTCAGGAAACGCTTTTGAGATACCCAAGCCCATCTCAATGCCAACCAGACTACAATCACCAACGTACTTCATCACTGCAAGAATTCCAATGCCATCTTAACACACCAAAAAAACCAGTCAAAAGTTGGTAAGAAATTAACAAACTTGCCACACAGGAGCTGAAGCGTTCACCTCAATGCAGAGAGCGTCCATTTTTCCCACTGGAAGCTTCACAAGTGCATCATTATCAATCGACTTAAAGTCCACAGAGAAACTGCAACTAACTGTAATGGAGGTCGCATTATATTCAATTCTTCACACCACACCATCACCCCTAGCGGAGTTTAAAACTGGAAGGGGTGTGGTTCTGAATGGACTGCACGACGTAGAGACTGGGATGGATCTGAGTTGCAGTGAGTGACAGAAGAATCGACGATTTTGGAACAAGGAGTGAGGAAAAGGACAACCACGACTTTTTCTTTTCTTTTCTTAAGTGTTTATTTATTTATTCATAATTAGAATGTTTGTTAACTTAGTGTTGGTTGCATCAATTATAATTAGAATGCATCTCTTAAATCAAATTAACACTTATCTTCATGTATATTGTAAAAATTTTATTTATTGCAATTAGATGTTAATAAATATTAATTTATAAAATGGAATTTAATCAACATTTTATGAGCAATAATTACAGAATTATAGGCTTTACGTTTATACTTTATTTTTATAATATAGGTTAATAAATATTTTTTAATTTATACTTTTAAATAAAAATAATTCCAATTATAAAACATATCTTGTATTTATTTTATTGAAAGTAAGAGATTGTATTGTGTTATCAAAGTAGCATTTTTAGAATCTAAAGATTATTTTATAATTTTATAATACTAAAGATTAAATACATGTAATATTTGAAGTTTTTATATGTTATAATTTCCACAAAATTTAAATACAATTCTTAGGAAAAAAATTAGAGAAATACAAATAACATTATTAAACATGTTAGTAAAGATCCAAGTTCAAATATCAATGTATCATCTATATATTAAGATCGCTCAACTAGACAAGTGCGAGGAGACAAGTGGTGTCTCTCCTTCACCCCATGTTCCCCACTTTGTTTTCATCAAAAAAACTTCACGTTATCTGGAGTTTACAAGCCTTTAACAGAATTGATAACTTGCTATTTCGAGATGTTTTGTGTGCCGCCTCCTAGGCTCAGAGCATTCATCTCGAGTGATGAGTGAATGGGAGAGCAAGTCGTAGTCGCTACGCATTGCAGGTAGATAGAGAGCTCTATATGACGGTATCGAGCTGCTGCGTCCAGCTGGCTGGTTGGCTGGATGTCGTCGTGTGTGGATGCGTGGCAAAGCACTGATGCAAATTGGATGGTTTGGAGATAAGCCAAAGAAAGATCCATGGCTTGATCATCATGAATGTTGATGCAGCTGGGAGTAGGGAATGCAAGGGATTCACCACACTGATCTTAGTGGTTCAATGAATTCTTCCAGTTGGATCTTCTCTTACTTCTCTTATTATTATTATTACAAGTGAATTTTATTGCTTGATGATCTTGAATGCTGGTGCCGCTGGGAGTGGATGCTGCTGTAGCTCTTGCCGCGGTGTTGGAAGCTAATCCAGTGCACATCTCAAGAGATAAGCCGTTGTAGGCAGAAGCCACACCTGAGGAGGTAAAACACAATTACACTTGAGGAGGTAAAACACAAGTCAAGCAAGTTTCTAAGATTTTGTTTTTTTATATTAGTTTGTTTTATGGGTATTGATTTTGTTTGTGCCTTCTGTTGTAGGTTTTGTCAGATGGTGAGAAGAGGCCATTGCATATGATCAGTATTATTTTACAAATAATTAAATTGTTGACAAGGATATTTTGGGCCGTCTTGCTACAATATTTTTATGACAATCAAGCAAATGAATTTATTTGCAATATTTTTACTAAAATCTAAGTTCACTTACTCTAGCCATGTCAAATTTATTTTTAATTCTTCATGTGAATGATGCCCATTTGAAAACTATTTAATCCAGGAGGTCATTTGGAGGCATTGATATTTATTATTCTAGTTGAATTCATTTTACTAAAAAAAAAACTCTTTGACTTTATTATGATTGACATTGAGTTTCATTTTTAGGCCATCTTGCTCTAGAGCAAGCAAATGAATTCATTTGCAATATTTTTCTAACAATCAAAGCCATGTCAAATTTATTTTTAATTCATGCCAAAATTATACTTTACAAATAACAAGCTGCTAGTAATTGAAAGATTAATTAAATTGTAAAGTTGATTGAGAGGAAAATTCGAGCAATTATTATTTTTTAATTCTTTGGAGTGTAGGCATGAAGACTAAAAAAGAAGAATCACAACTTTTTGCAAGCCTTCAATAATTTACCATAAATAGAAGATTTTTTTGCTTGACTTTTTTGATTCTATACTGCAGGCATTTTACATCGTTTGGCTATCAACTTTCCTTCTTTTATAACAAAAGCTAGGATATTTTTATTAAATACAAGTTTATATAAGGATTTTATAAGAAATAAAGTCATTTTAATATTTTAATATTTTTTATCTTTATAGTTATATTTATAGTTTTTATAGTTTTCATATTATATTTATTATATTACATTTTATATTGTATCTTCATTATAAACATAAGTTCTTGAGCAACAAAGTTTTATTGGAATTTTACAAGTATTGTTAACTACAACAAGAATTGTTGTACAAAAATTAAATTGTAAGAATTTCATTTCCTCCTCTTATATGAGAATTTTTATATTCAACTTCATATATATAAATAGCTTGTTATTTGTAAAGTATATTTTTGTACATAAATAAATAATGATATATTTTTTAATAAATATTATTTAGTAAATAAAGAATTAAATATTTATTATTATATTTATTTATTTTGATTTATAAAATATAAAATTTTAGAAAAATAGAGCTTTTTGTTGTAGCAAGTTGTTGTAAAATATATATAATTATAATCAGTAGGGATACATACATGTAGAATATTTTTTGTTAAAGTATTTTGTGGCATTATAATTTAACTAATTAATCTATACACATTCATTTTTATTTTACAAGTACTATGTAATTTTGCTAAAATACTTGAATAACAAGGTTTTATTAGAATTTTATGGAGGTACAATTTAGATAACTCCAATTTTATGGAGGTACAAGCTTACTCCAATTCTTTAGTGAAACCCGTGCCATTGTGAATGGTCGAGCTTTAACAATGAATCAAAGAGCAATTGCTCAATGATAGTGTAGGAAACATGAGAGAACACAAAGAGAAGCTGAAATAGTTATAAATACTGAAGCCACTCGTACAGCTATGAATGGTCCAGCTTTAATAATAAATCAGAGAGCAATTCCTCAATAATAGTATAGAGAATGTGAGAGAGCACAAAGAGAAGCTAAAGTAGTTACAAGTATTGAAACCATACATAATCTAGGAAGGATGAATATTTTGTGTCTTCATTGTAATGCATTATATTGGTTTGATGAACATTTAGCCTGGTTGCTAAGGAAGTTGCCATTATTTGGACAATGTTGTTGTCAAAGAAAAGTTTCTCTATCATCTCTACCTTCTCCACCTTTGCTTTTGAGACACTTATTCAAGGACCAAGATGTAAGAAGAAGGGAATTTTGAAAAAATATCCATCAGTACAATGTTGCGTTTACATCCTTAGGTGTAAATACTCATTGAATTGTGATTCAAAAAAAATGCTCTATATAGTTTTAGAATAAATAGAGAGTTGTGCCATTTAGTAGGAGCATTGTTACTAGAAGAAGGTAACTGTCATGGACATATACATGTAAGCCAATAGTTATCTGTATAAGTAGGTAAAAATAAAGTTAATTTTATAATATCTTTTATAGAAGCTTCTTAGAAACTTCATAGATACTGCTTTGACTTTATATGTATCTATAATTGACTTTTTTAATTAGAAACGTCATCAACAAATTGGCCATGTGCCACATATATTGTTAGCTTGAAGACCAAGCTAATTATATGGCCTACACATAGAAAAACTTGTCTTGTAAGTCAAGGCATGTGTTCTATAAAGTCAACACATATTAGAGGTCCTATAGAACATCACCACATAGCCCTTAGTTAGATAGTATATATAGAGACAAGAATGAAGCCTTCTTTACTCTTGAAAATTCCTTTCTTACTTCTAGTCTAATTTCAAGAGTCTCAAGTTTTCTTGTCTTTTGGCAATAAGACATCCTAGTTTCTTTTTAATATATGTACTTCTTTATTTCTATTTTTGTCACTCTTTCTTTGACATGGATTATATTGATTTATGCATCATCTTTTAGTTCATGTCCTTGATAGATTGACAAGAGTACTCTTACAATATCAGAGCTTTGTTTTGTCTTGATTAAGAGTAGATTACTCCTTTCTCATGATAAGACATAAGTATATTAGAAGTTACAAATTACCCTCTTCTAAACTGATATTATTTTTAGTATTTTCTTTATCTTCAAGCCCTTTCTTCTATTTTCTTGAGTGGTATTAAATATTTTTTTGAGTGTTATTATGGTAGAGCTTGTTAAAATGAAGAATGCAATGGCACAAATGCAAGAATAATTGAGGGAGTTGATACTTGTGATACATCAACTTAGCTTACTACCACATGAATCAACAAGAATGGCAAGAAGTAAGGATATAGAGATGAATAGAGCTGCTTCAATATTTGCACCAAATCGTATCTCTCCATCCATGGTGGAACATCCGTCAAGTATTAGAGAACCAAGAATTACCATGCTTGAGAAGTTTGATGGTATAAGATTCAAATTTTGAGGATTTATCAATCAAGTATAACTTGTGATTGAACTTCAACCTCAAAGCTATTCAACTCCAGAATCACAAGTTAGATTCATTGATATACTTCTTTCAGATTGAGCATTATCGTGGTTTTTATCTTTTTTTGAACAACAAGATCCAATACTAGATAATTTGAAGGCATTTTTAATAGAATTTTGGTCCATGTATGGAGAATATGATGTAATTCGTGTTGCAACCAACAAGATGTGTATTTTGTGATAAGACAATCGATTTGTAACATTATATGCTTTCCAGTTTTGACAACTTGTAACTGATATCAAGTGGGATGATGTTGCACTTATTAGCCAATTTCTCTATGGATTACAATATGAAGTAAAGAAATTGATTCTCAACTTATTTGATCCTCAAACATTGAATCAAGCAATTAACTTTGCTATGAAGTATGACAATTGATTTTTTGAATTTTGATCTAAAAGTCGCATAAGTGGGCCTCAACGTTGTCATAATATGTGAAGTCTTGCTTGACAATGCTTCGGATACCTGGCTGTAGAAGGTAGAATGGAAATTGCAACAACAAAATCCTAACTCTAATAGAACATTA